AAGGTTAATTTCAATAAACAACAACATTCACTATATGGCGGCTAGCAAAGAAGTTGTAGGTTAGCGACTACTAGATATACCTGTAGCGTTGGCCTACCTTCGTATTCGACTGATTCATCCCAATCAAATAATTAATAAACGAATTAATGAATAAATGAAGGGATAAATGAATGAATGAATGCGCAAAGGTTTAGCAATTAATATGTTCTGAAATATAATTGAAATATAAATGTGTGTGTGTGTGTGTGTGTGTGTGTGTGTGTGTGTGTGTGTGTGTGTGTGTGTGTGTGTGTGTGTGTGTGTGTGTGTGTGTGTGTGTGTGTGTGTGTGTGGTGTGTGTGTGTGTGCGTGTGTGCGTGTGTGTGTTCGCGCGCGCGCGTGCGTGTGAACCAAGTTTGAGACGCTTTCCGTCATGAATAATAAATGCCCATGACTTCAGCCGACATGAAATAGTCTGCCTGCATGCTTGTCCATTCTTCCACAGGGAGCAATGGTGACCATCTGCGTATTTGCTCACACTTGCACTGGCCCGCCAACGCACCATAAAGATAATATCAGGCTTAACATCTGAACATATAAAAATAACGTGACAAGCACAAGAGTTTATGGAAACTTGGCAATGATGACATTCTTGTTAAAACAACGAGCCCCAATATTGCAACAAGTAATCAGAAAACACCATAAACTCCAAGTGCAATTCAGCAACTTTATTACTCAATCACTATTATCGTTACCACTGCTACTTGGCTCCTACTGCGTGTCGCTGGCCAACATTATCCATTATGGAGATTGATGGCTGTTATCTTGAACCGAGATGTCGGAAGAATTTGGCAGGGCCGTGACCTGTCATCAGCCCAGCACCCCATGATCAAGCCTCCCACCCAGCCGTGCGTGCGAGCAAGTCGAATTGGGTTCGGAGGTCCTGCAGCTGTGTGGCAAGAGGAGTTTCGTTCTCGGCGCGCGGACTATCTAACGGGAGATAGTTCGTGTACCTTGCATCCTCAACGCCAAGGACGCGCCACATTACGTACGGAAACTTTAAAACACTTCTAAGTTTTTGTGAAGTTCGGGAGCTTGGTGGCATCAGACAAGTACATAAGTACGCAAGGCTAGCCCCGCCCAAACCACGTGGCCGCTGCCCAGCCAGCTGACGACCTACGCCACCGCACGCCCAGCTGTCCACTCGCCGGGCCGATGCACCTGGACCCCGCGCCGGCCGCCACCAGCACCTCACCCTTATCCAGCTCCGTGAGGCCCCGCGTCCTGTTCTGTGACACTCAAAACAAATACACTCTTCCTCAACCTTCAAGCATGAGCTATTACTCAAGTGTGTCAAGGACGAGTGGGGAGGTTAGGGGGAACACCCGTGCGGCCTTGACAAAGATTGGTGAACTTCTGGCAAGACCTTCATCACTCACGCCCTTGCTTTAAAAACACTCAAGTTCACTGCCCCGAACCCAGTGGGCGCGCGTGGGCGTGAGCAATAATGCGTACACACCCCTGCCTTCCTCTCCTTCCTCACGTTTTCTCAGTCCGTCAATCTATCACTAGTGTCGCCAACTGCTCAGCATGGCTTTAATACGCCACCTATGTGAAGGGAAGCCGGCGATCAGCATAATGATTCGGCTGGAGAATATCTGAATAACATGATTTACGAGATGATCGCTCACACGCGTGCAGAATGCTTTGTGCGAGTTACTCACATCAGAGTGCAGTATCTATTCTATTCTTTGCTACTCTGCGAATCCGAAATAGATGTGTATGGAGAACCTTATCAGTATAATGGCGTCGACAATAGGCAGGGAAGAGAGGGAGAGGGGGGAGGGGGAGAGGGAGAAGGAGGAATAGAAGGAGAGGAAGGGAGCAAGGGAGCAAGGGAGGTAGGGAGGGAGAGAGGGGAGAGAGAAGAGAAAGAGAAAGAGAAAGAGAAAAAGAGAGAAAGAGAAACAGAGGAGAGAGAGAGAGAGAGGAGAAGAGAGAGAGAGAGAGAGAGAGAGAAGAGAGAGAGAGAGAGAGAGAGAGAGAGAGAGAGGGGGGGATGGGAAGGAGGGAGGGAGGGAGGGAAAGGGGGGAGGTAGGAAAGGGAGAGAGAGAGAGGGAGGTGGGGGGGTAAGTGAGGGAGAGTGAGGGAGGGTGAGGAGGGTGAGAGAGAGAGAGAGAGAGAGAGAGAGAGAGAGAGAGAAGAGAGAGAGAGAGAGAGAGAGAGAGAGAGAGAGAGAGAGAGAGAGAGAGAGAGAGAGAGAGAGAGGGGGGGGGGATGGGAAGGAGGAGGGAGGGAGGGAGGGAGGGAGGGAGGGAAAGGGGGGAGGTAGGGAAGGGAGAGATAGAGAGGGAGGTGGGGGGGTAAGTGAGGAGAGTGAGGGAGGGTGGGGAGGGTGAGGGAGAGAGAGAGAGAGAGAGAGAGAGAGAGAGAGAGAGAGAGAGAGAGAGAGAGAGAGAGAGAGAGAGAGAGAGAGAGAGAGAGAGAGAGAGAGAGAGAGAGAGATTTGGGGTGTAGCAAGGGCAGCACGGGCGTGATCAACGAGGCGGTCGACAAGCGTGGGCTTTGACAGGTGAGGCAAGATAAGGCTGAGCGATGTGTGGGCGTGCGGCGGGCGAGTGGGAGGGGCGCGGGTGGCAAAAGCAGCAGCAGCAGCAGCAGCAGCAATATCGACCAGTTCTACTTGATGAGTCAGGGCGGGCGGGCGGGCGGGCAGCGTGGGGCCAGTACCATCGCCGCCACACGTGCTCGCCTCCGCCACCACCACCGTCACCATCGCTCCAGCACCATCGCCCTCTCCTTCACTTTCACTCTCACTCATTAACTCACTCACTCACTCACTCACTCACTCACTCACTCACTCACTAACTCACTCACTCTCACTAACTCTCTCTCACTGCTGTCACGCACGGTTCTTGCAGCTATTGTGAATTCCAGGTGTATTGCAATGCTGCTGCGATCAAAGCAACACAAACAAATTTCACGTGAGCACAGCTGATCATTTTCATGTTGGCTTGACAGCATCGAAATGCTACTCTTGACCTAGTTATCATCGAGCAAAATCTAAATACAGACAGGCTCGCTCATGATCACATACACATATACACATATACACATATATACATATATATAGACATGTATATACATATATATGTTCAAATACATATACATACATACACATACACACACACAACACACACACACACACACACACACACACACACACACACACACACACACACACACACACACACACACACACACACACACACACACACACACATATATATATATTATATATATATATATATATAATATATATATATATATATATATATATATTATATATATGTGTGTGTGTGTGTGTGTGTGTGTGTGTGTGTGTGTGTGTGTGTGTGTTGTGTGTGTGTGTGTGTGTGTGTGTGTGTGTGTGTGTGTATGTGTGTGTGTGTGTGTGTGTGTGTGTGTGTGTGTGTGTGTGTGTGTGTGTGTGTGTGTGTGTGTGTGTGTGTGTGTGTGTGTGTGTGTGTGTGTGTGTGGTGTGTGTGTGTGTGTAGTGTGCGTGTGTGGTGTGTGTGTGTGTGTGTGTGTGTGTGGTGTGGTGTGTGTGTGTGTGTGTGTGTGTGTGTGTGTGTGTGTGTGTGTGTGTGTGTGTGTGTGTGTGTGTGCGTGTGTGCGTGTGTGTGTGTGTGTGTGTGTGTGGTGTGTGTGTGTGTGTGTGTGTGTGTGTGTGTGTGTGTGTGTGTGTGTGTGTGTGTGTGTGCGCGTGTGTGCGTGTATTTCGTAGGAGAATTAATCTTCTGATATCAACTTCACACGTTACACAAGACATTAATCCCCTCCCCTCGCCCTTCCTCCCCGCAGAAAAAAATATTGGCCTACTAAGTCAACACCACGCTATACAGCGTGGTGTTGACCCCTTCCCGTATTCTTCCTTTCCCTTTCCCCCTCTCCCCTTCCTTTCCCTCCCTCCCCTTCCCCTCTCCCCTCCCTCTTCCCTCCCTCCCTCCCCCTTCCCCTCCCTCCCTTCCCCTCTCCCCTCCCTCCCTCCCCCTCTCCCCTCCCTCCCTTCCCCTCTTCTCCCCTCCCTCCCTTCCCTCTTCTCTCTCTCCCCCTTCCCTCTCCCTTTCCCCCTCCCCTTTCTCCCTTTCCCTCCTCCTTTTCCTCTCCCTTCCCCTTTTCTCCCCTTGCCTCCTCCCCCTCCACTCCCGACGCCACCACCTGTTCGTGGCCGCCCATTTATTCACCGGATTTCCCCCCCTTTCCTGCACCAGCCTAAACACGCACAGTCGAACCCCGCCCTCATGCCATTTCCTAATTCACCCACGCCACAAAATACGGCATCACGTAACCTGCTAGGATCATTCCATGCCAAGTCATACCATAGCATACCCTGCCACGCCACGCCACGCCATGCCATGCCATGCCTATATTAGAAAATCTTGTTCGCTTCTGTTGGGTTCATGTTAATCTCCAAGACATAGTGTCTCTCCTGTGATACACAATAAGAAGTCACGAACTTGCATCCTTTCTCACATACCATACAGCCACGCCCCCTACGACCGGGCCGAAGCACCGCCTATTTCAGACCACCTATTTCAGGGTAAAGCCTCGTCCTGGCCACAGACTCACGTTCCAGGGACTTTCCCCGATACACTTACCTCATCTTGCCACCATTACCATCGCTTGTCACAGCAAAATAAACAACAGAAAAGGCACACACGTGTTCCTCACATCACACCAGCATGGCCACCACACACGCCACATGGTCGGCTCCCCGCCGGTGTGTATCGCGACCGCCGCCGCTACTACCGCCGTTCACAGCCGCCGCAGGAACGTCTACATCGGATCTACACAAAGCACTACGGGGGAAAAGACAAACGGATGCAGGATGATGCACGCCCAACACACCCGCCTCAATCACGGTAGAATGAGCGCGAAGGTTATGTCCCGGGCCCCTCCCCTTCCCTTCCCTTCCTCCCGACGGCGGGATCGCTCACTGCAAGGGCGGACGCTTTACCTCAGCACCAGCATCGACAACAACCCCGAACATGAACAGTTGTTGGTGATCCACATCTGGCGGGCCGCACGAGGGGGCGCGCACTGCTGCCGCCTTCCACCACCACCTCCACCACCACGATCTCTCCGTCGTCATGTGGGTACTGGCGTGCTGAGAGTGAGGAGCATGTGTGTTCGTGCGTGCGTGCGTGCGTGTGCGGAACGGGTGCGTGCGAGCTGTGCGCGGAGGGTTGTTCGTACGCGCCGGTTGCCACACCCACACACCGCTACGACCACCATTCGCGCACACGCCTCGGAACGATGCCTTGCTCACCTACACCAGGTTTCGCTGGTCTAGAAAGGGAAGGGAAAGAAGAAAAGGAGGAGGAGAAGCACGACGACGACGAGAAGGTGGACAAGGACGAGGAGGAGGACGTGGAGGTGTTGGACGAAGAGAAGGTGGAGGAGGAACAAGGGAAGAGGAAGAGGTGGAAAGGGAGGGAGAGTGAATGAGACGAAAAGGCGCAAACAGGCAAAACAAACACACACACACACTGAGGTGCACAGACGACAGAAGGGAGTGAGGGAGAACAGAATGGTTAACATAACATAATAGCTCCCGCGTCTGACACAGACTCAGCCGCATCTGACGCATCGCCTCTGTTCCCGGAAAGTCTAAAAAATAATAATAAAGTTTCCTCCAGGTAGTAGGGAAAATTACACACGGTCCGTCCGCCTCGGAAAATGGTGGGCAGCCCATCACGGCTTGGGGTGTGGCCGAAACACGGCTTGGGCTGTTCTAGTGACCCGGGGGAGCTGGGTCCGAGGGAAGAGGAGGGGGGAGAAGGGAGAGGAAGGGGCGCTTGGCCAAAAGGGAGGGGAGGGAGAGGAAGTGGGGAAGGGCGGAGAAGGGAGAGGGGGAGGTGGAGGAGAGGAAGGATTTGAAAAGGAGAGGGAGAGAGGAGAACGAGGAGGAGGGGAGAAAACGAGGAGAGGGGAAGAGCGAGGTGAGGACATGGACGAGAAAAGGAGAAGGAAAGGGAGAGAGGGGTGGTTCCGAGGGGAAGGCCGAGCCGGTCAGGAGAGGAGAGGAGAGGAGGGGTGGGGAAGCCGGGGATGATCACTGAAACACTGGAACAGTTTAAAGGCAAAATTTAAAGCCCTCAACGGGAACTCCACCAGACGTCTGCCGAGGTCGGAATGAGGAATGAGGGCGAAGGCGAAAATTAAAGAGCACACGGAGAAAAACGCCTTAAGAAGAAGAAGGGGGAGCGAGAGGTGACGAGAGAG